TCAAAAGAACAAATTGAGAGAGTCCACATGTGTACCTCTTATATGTATATCAAAGCAATGGACTTGCGGTTTTCAACAAGAAGTTGAAAATATCACTTTTTTACCAAAAATGACAAAAATATTCACCAAAATTAGAGAATTAAAGATATCATTACAAAATGAACAAATCTGAGAGAGGTCCACATGTAGTACCTATATATGTAATATCAAAGCAATTTTACCAAAAATGCCAAAAATATTCACCAAAATTAGAGAATTGAAGATATGATCATGAAATGAACAAATTTGAGAGAGGTCTACCCTAAGGTACATACATATACACCAAGTATCAAAGCATTCAGGCTTGTAGTTTTCAAAAAGAAGTCGAAAAAGTAAAACATTGACACGGACGACGACGACGGAGACGGACGACGACAGACAATCACTCATATGATAAGCTCCGCTCGACAAAGTCGACAGCGGAGCTAAAAACATTTATTTAATGTTGGGGAATCACCTTGAACAAACAGATTTTTAAAAAAGACATAAGATCAACTCACATTGGTGTTATTATCTCCTACACTCATAGGGAAACCGATTGTTTCATCTCCTTCAATAGCTCCAAATATCTGTGAGGGGAAAAACATATCAATAGAAGTCAGTATGAAATGATTTATACAGTAAACCTGAATAAGATGAATTATTGATCCATCACGTTCATTAAAACCACAGATAATCAAAGAAAGCTTAGAAAGAACTCCTGTGTGCTGAGAAGAGTATTGGAGACACATTAAAAATTAATTCAAAATTACTTATACTTGAGATATTGATGGAATAACTAAAAACTAATTATGCAAATAAAGTAACTAGTATGAACAGATTTAAGTGTAAAACTAATAAGGTCTGCACAATGTACCAAGTTTCATTGAAATGTGATTAGAACCAAAAAAATATTAATTATTATGCTAATTAGAGAATTAATATGAACAGATTTTAACCCAAAATTAATCAGGCTGTCTATTGTCCTAGAGCATTTATGTACCAAGTTTTATTCAAATGTGATGATCAATACTTGAGATATCAGTATTAATTAATTATGTTAATTAGGTGATTAAGAAGCATAAATATTTACGAAAAAACTAATATGGTGTATAGTCCTAGGTTCATTGAAATGTGATGGGTACTCTTTAAAAGTTTCATTGAAATCCAATGAGTGGTTTTTAGACATCAGTGCAACAGCCATAGAACAGCAAAAAATTATTAACTAATTATCCAAATTAGGTAATTAATACATGTAGGCT